TACATGTATTTGCTTTTTTGAGACAGGGTTTCTCAGCAGCTTTGAAGCCTATCCTGGAAGTAGATCTTGTAGATCAGTCTGACTTTGAACTCACTGAGATATGCCTGCCTTTGCCTCCTGAGTGCTAGGATTAAAGATGCACCCACACTTCCCAGCACCTTATATTAATAGAAAACCTTTGACCTTTAGTTCAGGCTTATTACAAGCTAGTTCTTAGAGTTAAATTAGCCAGTTTCTAATTAATTAATCTAATTAATCTACATTTTGGCACCTGACAACATGACTTCACCTGTTCTCCTACGTGCCTTGTTCCTCTGGGAGCTGGCTTGCATCTCTCCTTAATCTGTCCTTCTTTTTTCTCTGTATTTCCTTTGGACAGTCCTGCCTAGCCTTATTCTGCCTAACTATACGCCAATTCAGGTATATTATTAACCAGTGAAAGGGATACATTTTCAAAGAGTACAAAAGCATTATCCCACAGCAGTTTGAACTTGTGTAATGTGAGCTGATTTATATCTGTAACATAAAACACACTACTACAGTCAATGGCCTGCATATGAAACCTCTGGGTGACCCAGTTGTGTCAATCAGGACTATACACATTTGTAGGCAGAGATTTCCTGTTCTGACAGTTTCCAAATAACTGACGTGGAGACTTAATATTTATTATAAATGCTTGGCTGAGAGCTTAGGCTTATTGCTAGCTAACTCTAACATTTAAAATTAACCCATATCTCTTATCTATGCTCTGCCATGTGGTGGTACATTGATTATCACGACACATTCATCTCCTGATACATCTGCATCTGGTTTGTGAGTTCTCTGACTTTGCCCTTGTGCTTCCTATAGTCCTCAGTTTGGTTTTCCTTTCTCTAATTTTTTTAAATAACAACAACATCAACACATTGTCATGGTGTGTAGGAGTATTCCACAGTACCTATTTGCAAAAAAAGAAAAAAACAACAGAAAACCCCTTCCTTAAATATTCATTTGCTCAAGAGAAGCCCCCAAATTGTTTGCCCGGTAATCAGGTCTGTCTTCATTCACATGACATGAATTAATACATGCTGGGAAATTACAGAATCATTGCCCTACTACAAGCCACAGAATTATGCAGGAATTATACAGTCATCATTTCATGAGATCGACCCATCAGAATCAATGATTCTGTTGTGAAGGATTTAAACAAGACATAAGGCATATTGGCATAAGTGCCTTGTAAATGAACTGTGTGTTTTCTGGCTACAGATTTCTTCCATAGCTTACTCACATCTGTTACCTATTGGGATATATCTCCCACAGTTTAGTACTATTTGATCACTTTTGGGCACATTTTCCCCTAATTAAGTGCAAAAACACACACATTGTCAAAAAAAATCTGCTCCCCCCTACCAGATTTTCATTCCTTTTTTCCAATGTAAACACAGAACTATAACTGCCTGTGATTATCTTTATTGGCAGTCATTTGGCCAGCATTAAGTGTCCGGGCAAAAGTACTTCATTAAAGCCATTCGTAGATATTCAATAGCATAGAAATACTATATTCATAAGACTGTAGACTGATAGTCACTCAAATAGGTAGAAAATAAGTATACTCTGGTTTTACCACATTTACAGATAGGAGAATAGATTGGCCTAAAGTAACGTTGCTGTGAAAGATTTCTAAATCTTTATACTCACCTTTACCTCAATTTATAGATGACTTTAGGTCATGAGTCATACTACTTATGTTTTACTCTCCCAGATAGCAGGAAAAATAATTAAATATCTGCCCACTGCCCAGAGAAGACAATTCATCTTTTTCTGGGGCCTCCAGACTTACACTACCAATGACCAGAGTGGCAGAGAGGCATCAAGAACCACAACTGATCATTTAGAGCTTCAATACCTCCTATCAAGGTTTATTTTGGGAGTAAACCCCACTAAACCATTCAGCATTCAGAAAGATTTGATATAGCAGTGAAAAATCTGACTAATAGAATCTCAGCACAAAAATAAATAAATAAATTAACTCACATACATCCTTTATCACGTCCTGTTTATTCTTTCTATGGCCTCTCTATTACCCACACTGTTCATAGTTCTTTGCCGTTCCTGGTGGTTATGTTGTGCTTGCTGTTCTCACCCACCATGGGGTTTCAGTCTACATAACCCACACAGACATTAACAGTCATCTCGACATGGACTACAGAATCATAAAAAACAGGGAGGAAGGACCTGACAAAGCAGCACTGTAGGAAAAGTGACACCACACAAGAAGGGCCCGTATCCAAGGGGACATATCTGACATTCCGAACCATTGGATAGGATCAGCAGACATCCACAAACCCTGAACTCACCCACTCCCCTCACTCCAGTCTCTATTGATGACACCCAGACCTGTTTGCCAACAAGGGTGGGCATGCTGTCTTCCTATACTTTTGGAATTCCTCCATGGTTGTGCTTGCTGGTGGTGTATATATAGTCCAGGGCTGAACATGTTCCATTGGATACTCAATTATTTAGCTCATCCCGGCCTAAGTCAAATTCTCCCACTTAAATGAAAACTCCAGTCATTAAAGAACAAAATGATCTGACCCCACAGTGACCTAGGCTTCCTTGGGTAGGAAACATTTTCAAAATTAGAAAACCCTTGGTGCAAATACCTCATCAGATACTTGCTGCTGTAATTAATGACTCTCCTATATTAGCAAAGGAAATTTTGGGGTATTAATTTAATGTAGACTTGACTATTCAACATAGAGTGAAAGTTATTGCTGAAAGGCCCCATGGCAGATATGAATGAGAGAAGGTAATTTGGTATCCATATACTGCTTGGCTACTTTGGTGTGAATAACTTTTTGAAGGGGAGAAATGCCTTGATTTCACAAGATTTCTATAGAATTGACAGTGACACTAATATATTTCAAAGATGTACCATTGCCACAATCCTCACATATATGAAAGAGAAATAACACAAAAACAGGGGAGGGGGAATGCCAGGAAAAGTCATCAGTCCCCACCGTGAATGTTGTTATTAAATGAACAGATTTGCTGAGCTCTTCAAATGTTAGAATAAGGCTGCCTTTTCCTCTGAGAGGGCTAGCTAGATATTAAAGTCACAGTTGCTTCCTTGCAGATTCAGGAGTTCAGATTAACCAGACCTGCCCTCTGTCTGTCTCAGGGCTTTATTATGTCTTAGGTATGTGGGTGTTTGCCTGCCATTTTCTGTGCACAGTACCTAAGAGGCCAGAAGAGGGCATCAGAAGCCTTGGGATTGGAGTTACAGGAGATGGTTAGCTACCATGGTTTCTGGCAATAGATCCTTTTCCTTTTTAACAACAGATAGTGCTCTTAATTTATAAGCTGTCTCTACAGCTGCTTTTTTATTTAAAATTTATTTTCATACATTTTACATAAAATATAGTATATCACTTTCAACCTTCTTTGTTCTCTCTTCACCTGTTCATAAATTATTTCCTTCCAATTTCCTCCTTGTTAAGCATGTGTGACTAACTGTGTGCAAATACATTGTAAAACCTGCGGAGGCCATTTCTGTTGGTTGTGTATATATAGGCCAGGGCTGAACATGTTCCATTGGATACTCAGTTAGTTCATCCCTGCCTAAGTCAAATTCTCCCACTTAAATGAAACTCCAGTCATTAAAGAACAAAATTATCTGGCCCTACAGTGACCTAGGCTTCCTTGGGTAGGAAACATTTTCAAAATTAGAAAACCCTTGGTGCAAATACCTCATCAGACACTTGCTGGTGTAATTAATGATTCAGAAATTCTAGCCCTGCAGCAAACACTCTGAACATTGATCTGAGACAATCACAGGCTTCCTTGGAACTCTGGGCCTCCCTCCACACCTCATTCACCATTCTCATCTTAGATAACTTAAAAATCCTCAAGTTCCTGCCTCCACTTTCTTAGTTCCATGACTACATGTCTGTGCCACCATGTTTGACTTAGATTGCTCCAGTTTCATTTAGTCAAGCATAAGATAGATGGGATGAATAAAAAGTGCATTACAGCTAACTACATTATAATAGCACTGATCTCTGTGAGTCTGGGTTTAACTATCTTTAGAATAAATACAGAAGTATGGGCTAGTCACTTGATGAGTTAAAAGAGACTCAATGATAAAGAAAAACTTTGTTTTTAATGGTTGGATGACAGTAGACTTTAAGGAAGGATTGCATTTGATGGGAGCCATCCTGTGACTAGAATTAGGACTTCTTTTTTTTTCTTTTCTTTTTTATTTATTTATTTATTAAAGATTTGTCTCCTCCCTGCTACCGCCTCCCATTTCCTTCCCCCTCTCCCAATCAAGTCCCCCTCCCTTGTCAGCCCTAAGAGCAATGAGGGTTCCTTGCCTTGTGGGTAGTTCAAGGACCACCCACCTCCAACCAGGTCTAGTAAGGTGAGCATCCAAACTGCCTAGGCTCCCACAAAGCCAGTGCGTGCAGTAGGATCAAAAACCCATTGCCATTGTTCTTGAGTTCTCAGTCCGCTATGTTCAGCGAGTCCGGTTTTATCCCATGCTTTTTCAAACCCAGGCTAGCTGGCCTTGGAGAGTTCCTGATAGAATTTCTTGAAAACCTTCACGTCATTTGAAGTCATCACCATTCAAGTCTCCTAATTGAAAGTTTTACAGTCATCAGGGAAGCAGACTATGATCACATTCAGAAAAGTCATTCTTCATGCCTGCAAGTTCCCTTTCTTTCCTTACAGGAGTCATAAACAAAAAAAGAAAAAAAGACTTTCTTTGCAGTATGATTTTTTTCTCAAGATTTTAAAGCCTGATGACAAATACAAAGTCTCTACCACATTGGTTAAAATTGTATGGTTTCTATTCAGCATGTGTTCTTTGATGGATGTGTACACTTCTATGATATGCAAAGGCTTTACTACATTGATTAAAGTAATAAGGTTCCTATCCATTATTTCTCTCAAATACATAAGGTTCTTTGATGTATTTGAGATTACATTGATGTGAAAAGTCTTTACCACATTCTTTACATTCCTAGAGTTTTTCCTGCAGTATGTGTACTTTTATGTATTTTCAGATTGCTGAGTTGTGAAAAGGCTTTACCACACTGATTACATTCATAGGGTTTCTCTCCTGTATGAAGTCTTTTATGTTTTTGTAGATTACTGAGTTGTGAAAAGGCTTTATCACATTGATTACATTCATATGGCTTCTCCCCAGTATGTGTTCTTTTATGTACTATTAGACTACTGAGATGTGAAAAGGCTTTACCACATTGATCACATTTATAGGGTTTCTCTCCTGTATGAAGTCTTTTATGTCTTTTTAGACTACTGATACATGAAAAGGCTTTACCACATTGATTACATTCATAGGGTTTCTCTCCAGTATGTGTTCTTTTGTGCTTTTGGAGATTAGAGTGCTTTGAAAAAGCTTTATCACATTGATTACATTCAAAGGGCTTTTTTCCGGTATGTGTTCTTTTGTGCTTTTGGAGATTAGAGTGATCTGAAAAAGCTTTATCACACTGATTACATTTAAAGGGCTTCTCTCCAGTATGTGTTCTTTTATGACTGTGAAGACGACCAAGACTCACAAAAGCTTTATCACATTGATTACATTGATAAGGTTTCTCTCCAGTATGTGTCCTTTGATGTACTCGAAGATTACTGTTCGCTAAAAAGGCTTTACCACATTGATTACATGTGTAGGGTTTCTCTCCAGTATGTGTTCTTTTATGCCTTTGAAGCTCACAATGACGCACAAAAGCTTTATCACATTGATTACATTGATAAGGTTTCTCTCCAGTATGTCTCCTTTCATGTTCTCGAAGACTACTGCTCACTGTAAAGGCTTTACCACATTCATTACATTCATAGGGTTTCTCTCCAGTATGTGTTCTTTTGTGAAGCTGGAGACTGCTGATATATAAAAAGGTTTTACCACATTGCTTACATTCAAAAAGCTTCTCTCCAGTATGTGTTCTTTTATGTCTGTGAAGCTCACCATGACTCGCAAAAGCTTTATCACATTGATTACATTGATGAGGCTTCTCTCCAGTATGTGTCCTTTGATGTATTCGAAGACTGTTGTTCAGTGTAAAGGCTTTACCACATTCATTACATTCATAGGATTTCTCTGCAGCTTGTGTTCTTTTAAATATTTGGACACAGCTGGTACCTGCAAAGGCTTCATCATATTGAATATCATCATATGGCTTCTCTGCAGAATGAATTTTTTCATGCCTTTGAAGATGACTATAACATGCAAAGGATTTAACATACTGAGTATATTCAGAGGGTTTCTCTCCATTATGGTTTCTTTCATATCTGCAAAGATAATTGGCACATGTAAAAGTTTTACCATGTATATTACACTGATGAATATTAATATCTGTAGGAATTAATTTTATAAATTTGTTTAATTGTAAAGAGGAATCAGATTTTAAGTTTTACATTCATGGTGCTCTCCTCCAGTATGGGATGTTTTGTGTCTATGAAGAACTTTTGACAGTAAGGGTCTTTTGTCAATTGACCCACATTTATAGTATCATTTTCTATGAGTTTTTTTACTTATTTAAAAGGAACTAGACTAACTCAGTGTTAAATAACCTTGAATTCCCTTTACATTTTTATGTTTTCCTGTAGTGCAATATCTACCACAAGAAAGTGTACTAGGACAAACAAAAGTAAGTACACAGTCCAACACCCATAGGCCTTATCTTCAGTGTGAGTTTGCTGCTGATGTCTTCCCAAGGAAGATTGAAAACCAGTTAAATATAATCTTATAGCACATTCAATAAATCTATGCACTGTTGAAATAATAAATATCTTTCCTATCTTCTCATTATTCTGAAAGAGATACAGTCCCTCTTTCCATTTTGGGAAGCTCACTTGTGACATATGACATTCTTATTAAAGGAAGAACAATTGCCCCTTGAATTCACACAGTTTGACTTTCTCTTCCTCACAGAAATGTGGTATAAGAATGAAAGTTTCTCCACAAGAGCCTTTGTTACTCTCATAAACCAACTCTTTCAATAAGTTTGGCAAAGTCACAAGTACATGAGTAACACTGGCTTTCCTACTGAGTATTTATTTTTTGGTCAGTTCTAAATATAGGCTTATTATCTAATCAATGTGTGTACGTGTGTTCCCTGTGCAATATCTGAGTGGTAGAAAACTAAATGGATTGGCAGCTCTACAGCATACTTCTCATGGGACTAGGACTCAAATGGTGGGATCAGGTAAGGAATCATTTGTTTCTCTTCTGTTTTTAGAGGAATGCCTTGGAAACACAGACCAGTTACCTCATATTGAGGCATATGATTTTATGAGAAATCAATAATCATCAACATACTTAAAGCTGTTCTCATTTATACTATTGTTTTTCTTTAAATCTTCCAAGACAAATTAAAATTTCTTCAGAGTCAAATATACACCAAGTTGCAAATAAAAATTACCTTCCATGTTTTCTAGCACTTTGACAATGCTTCTCAAAATTATCATCTTCCCAACTGTAGCCTAAAATATAGGAACAGAAAGTAGATAATATATTAAAGGATGTTGTACAAAATTGAATATCTTAAGTGAACTATGCCTTAGTTATTTGGCTCATTCTTACTCTTGCTCAAACACAAACATAGAAAAGTATCAATAAATAATACAGAGGTGTCCCCTTATTTTAAAACGTGAAGGAAAGTTCACAATCTTACCAATAGCCGTGAGGTTCCTGTATGTCTCTAGCATCACACCTTTGTAGAGACTCTTTTGGGAAGAATTCAGCAAAATCCACTCATCCTGAGTGAAGTCAATGTGCACATCTTCATAAGTCACTGAAGTCTAGAATAATCCAAACAACAGTAAAACAAAGTGTGATCCTGACATTGGATACTTCTTTTTAAATGATATATTTGTATAATGCTGCTGCTTCCCACACTTCTGCCATGACATTACAATTAATGTAATCACCAGTCACTTAAGAAGGAAACTGAAGAGGAGGTTCATATGAGCCATTCATTGGCCCTTTAAATGGGATACAGCCTTGAGAAAGAAATGCCAATAAAAAGATATACAGAGACAGACAAGAAATCAATACTACTGAGAAAAAAATTACAGAAATAATAAGAACAATGATTATCTCAAAAAGTGATGGGAAAATTGGGTATACTGACTTTTGCCTTTAATCCCAGCAATCACTATAAAAGCAGATGAATTAAATTGAGTTGGATGTCAGCCAAAGCCTACACAATGAGTTACAGGTAAGGCAGAGTTACAAATTAATAAAACCCAGTATCCATAGAAAAATCATTCAAATAAAAAGGTTAACAGAAATCAGAGGTTTGACTGAAGTTCTTACAGAAAGTTTTTATTCACTTTAGTTCTATATTCAATCTCCAGAACCTACAGTGGTCTAGTTTAAACTGTTTCATAATAAGATCTTAATAGAAGGGAGTGCATGTTTAACAGTTACAAATGGACCAAAGAAAACATCAGCCCTGCAAATGATGATCATAAATAACAAAAAGTAAGAGAGTTGGGTCAGCAATTAAGAGGGCTTGCTGTACCTGCAGATAAGTGGGTACATTTGCCAGTACTAAAAGGGGGCTTGTAATTATCCATTACTTCAACTTCTGGGGCCCCTTGTGACTAACATGAGGATCAGGCTTGCATGGGATACATACCCTTGTATATAGATACAACCTCATATTCATTGAAAGCATTCAAAACAAAAACAAATTAGAGGCAGGTAGAAAGTCACACCCCTGCAGTGCAATGATTCAGAAGGCAGAAGAATTAGTGTCATGGATACTACTCTCCTGGGAAAAAGAATGATACCTACTCCACCAAACTTCAAATTTCAAGATGTAGGTGAAGTTCAGCATAGAAACTTATCCTTGATATGTACAAAAACCTACATTCCAGGCTCATCAGACAATAAAACAACACACACACACACACACACACACGAAAAAAAAATACAAGTGTGCTGCTTAGCCATTAATCCCTCTGTGCAGAAGCCAGGATCATTTGTATTTGTGAGTTGAGGACAGCATGGTCTAAGGAGCTACATTCAGTACCCAGAGCTACAGAGAAAACATTGTCTTTCAAAAACAAAAGTAAGAAAAAAATTAAAATAGAAATCAGGATTGCAAAAGGCTTAAGAGTGAACAGAAATTGCTTCAACTGCATGTTTTGTCATTGAGTGACACCATCTATAATGGCGGTGAAGTCATAACAGCAGGACACACATAACCAGAAATGGGTTGTGGCTATAAACATGTAAATCCAATCCTCAATATAGATATTTCATCCAAACGATTTCTCCTACTCAATGTTCTACAAATACAACAAAGAAGAGCACCCTGGAAAGATAAGTGTTCAACCACTTCTTCTAATCTAGGACTTTTTCCTTTGATCAACTACATTCCAATCCTGATCCATAAATATTCACGGTCATCCCATGATAAAAAATGTATTTAGTCTAACTTCAATGATAGTCATAGACTGAAACACTTGTTTCAGTGTGAAGTCTCTTATAACAATCATGATATTGACTTGATTGGCCATAACCCAGCCCAATAAAGCCACACCTAATAGTGCCATTCCCTAGGAGATTATTGGATCTCACTACATTCAAACTATCAGAGTGGTTTATCTGAGTCTTAAGGTAGATAGATTCCCAATTATCTGAGGAACTGCTATATTGGTTTCCATAGTGGCTACACAGCTTTGCTCTCCCAGCAGCAATGGAGGAATGTTCTCCTTACTCAACATCCTTGCCAGCATGAGTTGTCCCTTGTGTTATTGAACCTAGCTATTCTGACCGGTATAAGGTGAATTTAAAAAGCTCTTTTGATTTACATTTTATTGACGGCTAAGTATATTGAACATTTAGCTAAGTGTTTCTAAGACAGTTTAGATTTATCTACTTATAATTTCTTATTTAAGGGGCTGGAGAGATGGCTCTGAGGTTAAGAGCAATGTCTGCTCTTCCAAAGGTCCTAAGTTCAATTTCCAGCAACCACATGGTGGCTCACAACCATCTATAATGAGATCTGTTGCCCTCTTTTGGCATGCAGGCATACACACAGAGAGAAAATTGTATACATAATAAATAAATATTTTTTAAAAAAGAATTTCTTTTTTAAATCTTTACCACAATATTATTCAATTATTTTATTTCCTGATGTGTTCCTTCTTGAGTTTTTTTGCTTCTGAGCAAGTAAACCCAAACTATACAGACAAACATGATGTGTACTCATTGTAAGTGGATTTTAGCTGTTGAGTAAAGACTAATCATAGTACAATCCACAGACCCAGATTGGGTAAGTGACAAAGATGGCTGTAGCAGAAGTTCATGGCTCCCAAACAAGAAGATCAAATAGACTAGATCTGTGGGTGTACTCAGAGCAAGAACAGGAAGGAACATGGAAGCAAATGGAGGGATGGAGCAGGAAAACACAGCAAGAAATTAATAGAATAAGAAAGCTTTCAAGGGTTGATGTTGAAACAGTGCAGTAACAACTTTCTGCAATCTTTGAGGTTAATTATAGTGAGGACTCTGTATAACTCAGAAATATGGGGCCTGTACTGGCCATCTTCTGTAATCATATATGGCTCCCAGTGGTGGGAATAGGAAACCAAGCCAGCTATAAAATATTCAGCACACACTTGTTGTGCCTGGGAGATACACCAGGAACATGGTGGCTCAAGATTTGTGCAGTGGCTAACCAATGACTGGTCCAACTTGAGGACCAGGGTTGCTAGGAAAAGTGCCTAGATATGCAGGATCCAGAAGTTGCATGGCTCAGAGAACTAGGGTAGAACCAAATACAAGTAACAATAAAGAAAAAAATCAATGTAATGATAACTAATTCCACGACAAATAGATCTCTAGGTCTCAAATCCTGTTTGCCTTTGTTGAGAGCAGCACACTTCTTTTTCCTGTGTTGGTTTCATTCCCCATTAGTAGCTCTCCTTGGCAGGTAACCTATGACCCTGGGATCTCTAACATCTTGGTTAATTAAAGAATTCCAACCTTCCAATATTAAGATCCGCTCAAGATCTTCTGTACTCTTCCATAGGCTATTATAAATCTTCTATTTTGGTTGAACTAGTATAACTCCAGCAATTTGGTCTCATGATAAAGTCAGTCCTTTATTAAGCTTTTTTTTGACCCTTATCTGCACTTCATTTTTTAGCTGCTGGCTTGTCATAACTCCCTTAAGAGAGGTCTTTCTGATTTAGCAGCTTGGGGGGCAGAGTTTCAAAACATGGCTTCCTGATTTGCCAGCACAAATGAGTCTGGCACTTTTGGGAGGTCTGGCTATGGAGCATTTAAATTTGATTTTTACTTGTGAGCAACAAGCAATTTCCATTGGAATAGATTCTTGTATATTGATATAAACTTAAATTAAATTTGAATATGTTCCTATTTTCATCTATAATATTTGTATATCTAAGCAAAATTATTTTGTCATATTGAATGTATGCATGCTTATACCTCTGCTAAAGACATTTTGTATATCGATACAACTTTAGGGTGTATTTATCATATTGCAATATACATTTCTACCTCTGATTAAGATACTTATAGTTGTTTACATTTTGAGGTCACTATCCTCATTTGTTGGACAGTTGTTTTAAGATTGTTTACTATTCTAATATGAAGTCTTAGGTTATATAGGTATTAAGAATTAAAGGTCAATAGTCTTCCATATTTGTCATACTTATAGTTAGACTAATCAGGTTGTTTAGATACATAGAGATTGTATTCTGCCTAGACAGGTAAGTAGTCTTCAACCACTTCAAAGAGCTGTAGAACATGGCATTTAAATAACTTATGGCTATGTTGACGTGAGAAATGATTTATCAAATCTATACCTGAGAGAATGTTGAGCATGGAAGTCACCCCTCTTGGATCTTCTTTTTTCTTGGCAAAACTGGCCTTTGGACAAGGAACTGCCCAGGCATGAACCATTCACAAAATGCATGATGTCCAGACAGGACAAGCAGGATAGAAGAAAAAAGACTCAACTCTTGCCAAGACAGGGTAAGATGGTTTTGAAAGATTTCCTGCCTCTGAAAATAGTCTGCCAGTTACTCTGGGCCTTAGCCAAATTTGGTTGCTCCAACGTTGCAAATAAGACTTTGGGTGATTGCCCAGGTAGCCAGTTGTCTCTGTCATTTGTTGCACATTTTAGAAGTTGCTTGATTGCATCTCCTGCTTATTGAAGAAATATTATTTCCTTTCTTCGGTCTTCAATGGGGTTGATGACTAGATAGCTATAGTTACTTTCCTCTCATGACTTGGCCAATTTATTTAAAATACAAGACTTAAACTTCTTAGGATAGGATAATTATTGAAACATTTATCATATGTTTCTTGCTTGATATCGTTTATGCTTGTTGTAATTCTAATTTTTATACTTGATATTTGTTCTATTGTATATAATTTTGTATTAGGCGTAGAACTCTCTTATTTAAATAAAAGGGGGAAGTGCTGTAGGAAATCCTACAGCCAGTAGCCTTTATGTGGCCCACTCAATTGTTCATGGCCTCTTATACTATAAGTGCTGATGTTAAGCATGCACTCCCTCTCACTTCTGGCTGCAGATTTGTTTGCTGTTCCCTGTTCGAGCAGAGGACTGTGATCTAAATAAATAACCCTGTATTATCCTCAATTCTGAGCTAGTGTAGGATTTCTTTTTAGCATCCAATTTCAAATTTCCAACTATATACTGTGGGGGCAAGCCTGATTGAAAAAATGCCTTGCTCTAAAGATAAACAAATAAATAGTGCTTGGAAAAATAAAGAATGAAATCTGTAATAACCAAGTA